TTAATAGGTATATGCTTGTTATGATTGTTGAAAATAAAATGTCTGCAGTACTGACTACTTTCCAAATCACGCAATCTTCTTCTACAATTATTGGTTTGGGAGGAATTAGTCTCTGTCTGTACCAGATCCATAATTCTCTGCCTCCCAACGTGGCTCGATCTTCAGAGATGCAAGGTGTTTCATCGTCAGCATTATCCTGACACACCGTAGTGCTCACGCACTGTATGTGAAACATATCTCCGATTGATTCTCTTATAAGACATGGTCGACCACGTGATTTGCATTCGTCACCGCAATCATTGTACGAAAAATATCCGTGAGCATAGATTATGAGAGTCAATATGATGGGTGCTATTGTTAGCCTCATGCTTTCCAGACTGTTAGACCGGATAGCTCGCGCTGTCTCAGGAATACCGATTTGTTGAGTGGCTTGGTCAGCCAGTCGGCTCGCTGGTACTCCGTCGGTATGTAGGCAATATCGATGTCTCCTTTGTCGTAGTGGTCTCTGATGAAGAAGTATTTTAGTTCGATGTGTTTTGTTCGTCGATAGAACAGAGGATTCTTGTTGAGCTTGATTGCTGCTTGGTTGTCCATTTGAATTGTAACTTTTTCTTCTTTGCCTAATTCTCTCAATAGTTTGGTTAACCATTGGGCTGCTTTTACACTTTCTGCTGCTGCATAGAATTCAGACTCGCACGAACTGAGAGCGATGTTTGATTGCCTTGTCGTGTTCCACACGACTGGTCCTGACTGTCTCATGATCAGTGTTCCCGACGTTGACTTTCTGTCCTCAATGTTTGAGCCGTGGTCCGCGTCAGAGAATACCACTGTTCCCTCGTCAGAGTTGCTTTTGTATGTGATGCCGAGTGATGGGCATGACTTCAGGTATCGGAGTATCCTCTTTCCTGCTTCCAGATGCTCAGGTGTACATTTATCTAGGAAACGACTGAGATATGAAGTGGCGAAAGCCACGTCAATGCGGCAGCCACTGGTCATATAGAGGACTGATCCTATCAATTCTCGGAAGTTCTCGAGAGTGGTCGTTCCTGTATTTTTGATGTTGTAAATGCCTGAGTCACAGGGAGTTGAAGCAGGTTTGCAATCGAACATGTTGAATCGCTTGAGAACCTCGTTCACGTACTTGGTTTGATGTATGTGAATATCATGGTTCTCATTTGTTTCGATTTGCATTCCGAGGAAATACGAAAGAGGCTGTGATGTTATCTCAAGTTCTTGACTGGGAGAATCTATGAACTGAGGTACGATCTTTTTCGTTACCCCTGCGCACAGGCCATCGTCTACGTAGATGCAAATGATGACTCTCTCTGCCCCATTTCGATAGAAAATGCAAGGGTCAGTTTTGCTTTGATTCAGACCCTTCTTCAGAAGAATGGACTTGAATTTCTGGCTGAACTCGAACGGTGACTGACGCAAGCCATAGATAGCACGTAAGAGTCTCCAGACTTTCTTTGATCCATCATCCTTTCCTTCTGGTTGTTTCATGTAAATTTCGTCATTAAGCTCAGCATTGAGAAAGGCCGTTTTGACGTCAAAATGATGGAGATACAACTTTTCTTCAGCTGCAATGCTTAAGACACAGCGGACGCCCTCAAGTCTTGCGACCGGAGAAAATATCCGATCAGGGCTAAAGTCCACATTTTCTTGCTGTAAGAATCCGCGCGATACCAAGCGCGCCTTGTAGATTTTGGTACCGTCCTGTGAATTCACTTTGATCTTGAAGATCCATCTTGAATCGATTGCTTTTCTGCCTGGTGGCAGCTCAGTTAACTTCCACACTTTCAAGACTTCCATGGATTTTAATTCCTTTTGAATGGCTTCTTGCCATTTTTCTTTTTCAGGGCTGCTCATTGCATCTCTGTATGAGGTAGGCTGATACGAACCATTTTCATCGTCACGCGTCCTTGCCTTCGACTGAAACACTGACGGATCATCATCTTCACTGTCCGTGTCGCATTGTTCGTTCTCTGTATTTAGATTGTTTGCGTCTGCCAAGTATCTTGATGGACGGCGAATGTGTTCTCGTGGACGTAAATTGCGTGTGGGTACTGAAGGTTGCGTAGTTGCATCAGAAGTTTCTTCTGATACTGTGTTTTCAGTGTTGAGTGTGGGCTGTGTTTCGTTTTCATGGTCAACTTCAGTGTTTTCTTGTTCGTCTTCGTGTTCTGAAGGCGCGTGTCCCTCTGAGTCCTCATTGGGTGCAAACAACGTAGGCTTCTCGAAGACAACGTCCCTGGTGTTGATGATCGTCTGAGTTTCTGGCATCCACATTCTGTATCCGAGGCCATGATCTAAGTATCCGACAAGTCTACCCGGATCGCCTCGACGCTCAAGTTTTCGCAGTTTCGGCTGTTGTTTTCTCACATAGCATTTCATGCCAAATGGTTGGAGTTTTCCGATGTATGGTTTCTTCTTATATATGATTTCGTATGCTGACTTGTTCAGCTCTTCATGTACGGATACGATGTTCAATGTATCCACACAGTAGCTGACACATTCAGCCCAGAGGTACTTTTCATGTTGAAAACCGGCACTGATTAGAACGGATCTGACCAAATTCATGACTGAGCGATTTCCACGTTCCGCAGTGCCATTTTGCATGGCAATGTATGCACTGCTGAACGTTTGCTCCGCACCAATGTCATCAAGGATTTTCTTGACTTCTTGATTTTTGAATTCGGTTCCGTTATCCGAATGGAAACGCTTAATGTTGTGACCGATTTGATTTTTGTACAACTGAATGTAATGTCAGATAGAATCGGCGGTCTGATCTTTGGTCTGAAGAAAATAGACCTTTCTGAATTTTGAAGATTCATCTGTGATCATAAGAAAATGTCGTGAGTTTCCCAGCGACGGTGTAGCCGGGCTACACAAGTCTGCCGAGACTGAAGCAGGCTCTTTTGCTTTTGCCTGTTCAGGCCGACTGTGATATGAGCTTCTGGTTTGCTTCCCCATAATGCAGCTCTGGCACTGATATAGATCATCTTGATAGCTCATCTTGTTCAGGTTGACAAACCTTTTAACATATTCCTTATTGATATGTGCCAGTATTTCGTGGAATCTTCGAAGACTCTGCTTCGGTATTTCTGCATGCTTTTTATTTTCTTTCGGGTCGGTGCTTCCTTGTGCACAATTTCCGTGACCGCGAGAATGATTGGTTGTCGTAGCCAGGATCCGGTACAGTCCCTTTTTCTTAGGATTCTGTACTGTGGCTTCATCCCTTTTCATGAGGAGACCACTTCCACTGACTTCGAACTTGTCGTCAGTCAACTTGCTTACGGAGATCAAGTTCTTCCGCATCTTGGGAACAAACAGAACATTGTCAAGATCAAATGTTTGTGCTTGACCGTGAGCATCGACAGTCAGACGGATCGTACCCTGCCCGAAAACCTGCAGGCAGTGGTTGCTCGCAACTCTGACTTCCCGGGTGTCGGTGTTCTTGTCAAAGTCAGTGAACCAGATCTTTGAGTTCACTATGTGGTGGGATGCTCCGCTGTCGATGAGGACTTGATTTGATTTGTCCTGGACGCTAAAGGTGTCGGCCGGAAATGCTTCGGCAACTTTGGCCCTTGGCCTGTTTCTGGAATTTTGATTCCTCTTCGGCTTGCGGCATACATTTTGCATGTGTCCCATCAGTCCACAGTTGTAGCACTTGATTTTGCTACGCGTATTCGTTACGCTTCGTTGGTTTCTTTGCTGGACGGAACTTCGGTAGCCGCCGGATCTTGGTCGTCGGCGAAATCTACCTCTTCGATTCTGATTTAGATTTCGATTGCCACTGATTCTGGTCTGTGCAAGCAGAGCCGAGGCCTGATCTACCTCTCGCTCCTGAGCTCTTCTTGCACCTTCTGCCCTGAGGACCTCCTCTAGCAATGTGTAGGTCTTATCAGCCTCAGCTCTTGCTGCCCAAGCAAATCTGAGCGAGTCCCATTCTCTTCTTGCACACTTGATATAATTTGCAATGATAAAACCAGTTTCAGTAAGATTGTTTTGAAGATTTTTAAACATGGTGAGATTGTCTTCCATCGATCTGTTTTTAAGAAACTTGAAAGACATGAATCTCGAAATTGCTGTATCTTTGACAATGCCAGTTTGGTTTGCGAATCTTCTCTTGATCTTTTCATAGATTTCGCTGGCAGTGAGAATTTCGGTTTCACCATAGAAAAGAGTTATGACAAGATTTGGGTGAATAAAGGAATAGAGAATTCGTTTTCCAAGTAGATTTGCTGCCTTAAATTTTCTAACTTGTTCTTTTTGAATAGTGGTCCATTCGTTCTTTTGTTCCGTTCCTTTTTCTGACATTACCAAATCCCAGCAATAAGATCTGCGACATCTTGATTTTGAGATAGGTAGATAGGGATAAGGGATTTCCAGGCTACGTAGTTCTGTCCGCGCTCTTTCAGCGTGACTGGGCATTGTGTCAACCGACGGGTGGTCGAGTGGTTAGCGCGTTTGTCACTTCTCGTGCAAACGTGCGTTTCACTTCGTGAAATGCCGCAACGACGCCGCTCGCGCGGGAGGCGGTGTGGGTTCGATCCCTGCTGCCGGAAAAATATGCAGGTACTCGGTCTTGATCCTCCTGGGTACATTTGCTCTATGGATCCGTCCTCGGAAGCAATGTGAATAACAGTACCCGGGACGTTAAACCTTGGCTGTGTGGATCAGCCCGAAAAAGTTTTTTTTTGGGCATTGTGTCAGGTTCTTTTTATATTCTGGCTCTGAGCCTGACATGTCCGGAATGGACATGTTTGATCCCGGTCCTATTAAGTAAATGGTTGCTTACTTTGTGGATCGTTGAAGAGCTAACTCGTGCTGATAACGTATTCGATATTCACTGGACACTTAAGCAGAACTCAGTATAATAGAATAGACATTTGGTGTTGCCCAGTGTTTATTCCAGATGTTGCAGTGCTTATATAAGTCCAGAAGAAGTGGAAAGTGGTAAAGAGAAAGAACACTGTCTCCCTCAGTGTATCAGACGGTTACAGGGGACATAGATTCTGAACAGCTTCCTTCATTGTTTTTCTGAACTCGAAACTTGCGTATTGACGACCATTGTCGACTCGCATAGTCTTTGGAATTCCGAAATGCGCGAAGCAGCTGAAACAGGCTTGGATCAGGGTCTTCGATGTGATGTTGCTCAACTTCTGGATCTCGAAATAGACACTATAATGATCTACCACGACTTGGTAGTGGGATCCATCGAATTCGAAAATGTCTGCTGCCACGGTTTGCCAGGGGAGAGATGGTATCTCCGATATGATCATTAACTCTTTTGGTAGGCTCGGCGCATTTTCCTGGCATGCATGGCATTGTCGAACGAATGCCTCGATGTCTGCATCGATTGACGGCCAGTAAACACTACCTTTGGCTTTGTTCTTCATCTTTGTCATACCACAGTGCGACCGGTGTAGTTGCTTGAGCACCTCACTTCGCCATCACGGCAGAGATCAAAAAAGCATTCCTACAGTTCGAGATCGCTCAGAGCGATCGAACGTTTCTAATTTAAGGTTCAAGCGGCCGTTGGGGATCAGCAAAAATCCCAATGCGCCAATTAGAGAGTTCCAGGCCAAAGTTCTCGATTTTGGCCTGATATGCTCACCTTGGCTCCACATCAAAGGGGTTCGATATCACCTCGAGGACTGCAAGAGTCAGTTCACGGCCGACGCCAAATTCATCGAGGTTTCGTCAAACCTACACATGGACGACATTTGTCTGCAAGCACTCCCTGGCCGACGCGGATCACGAGGTGACTATCCTGTTTAAGATGTTCCAGCAGGCCCGCTTTCCGCTTTCCAAATGGGGCACAGCCAACGAAGAGGTGGCGAAGAGCATCCTCGAGCTATCTCCACTTAAGAACACAACAGTCACAGTCTGAGAGGAAAATGCGAAGTTCCTCGGAGTCCAATAGCATCAGCCAACTGACAGCCTGGGGGTCTTCACACGGAAAGCCCTATCAGAACTCTGGAGCGGAACTCCTTCGAAACGAAAGCTCCTCAGGGGACTCGCTCAAACTAACGACCCGCTGGGTATGCTGACCCGGGTCACCGTCAGAGCGAAAACGCTCTTCCAGTCGCTCTGGAAACTCGAAATCGATTGGAACGATCCGTCACCGACGGAAGTCATCGAATCGTATCAAAATTTCATCGCCACACTCCGACAGTGTGCCGACAACAGAGTCGAGCGCGCACTGAGCTCACGTCTATCAAGCGCGACGTTCGAAAAACACGCTTTCTGCGACGGGTCGCTCGAAGCCTACGGCGCAGCGATAAACCTGAGAACAATCGACAGGGGTTTCGCCCAAGCCAGGCTTGTCGTCGCAAAGGCTCGACTAGCACCGGCTCCGAGGGTACTTGAAGCCCGAGGTGGCCACGGAGTACTTCTGGATCGATAACTTGGCGTGCGTCTCATGGATCCACAGCCCTCCAGAGAAGTGGCAACCATTCGTGGCGAACGGAGTTCGCGAAATCACGAAACTGTCGGACTCGAATACTTGGCGATACATCCAGTCGGAAGAGAATCCAGCGGACATTTTATCCAGAGGCACCAACATCTTGAACCCACAGAGCCGTTACCGATGGCTCTCCGGACCGATATGGCTCAGCGATCCCAGCTGGAAACCACCGGCGAAGCAGATCGAGGTAGGGGAGACAGCGGAGAAATGAACAGCGGCACCAACTCAGTGTCCACACGCGGTGCGTTACAACGGAGACAACGTCATCGACGATCTTCTCGATCCGGCCCGCTCCTCCTCTTGCTTCAGAGCTGATCAGAGCACAGGCTTCCTGCAACCGACTCAGGACATTCGCTCAGTCGATCAAGTCGAGACGGCGTCGCTCACACTCGAGCAGTTAAACACGATCGCTCCAGCTAGACACGGCCGAATGTCAACAAGCCGAGAAAGACCTTGTGAGAAGAATCCAGGGAAAATACTTCCGAGAGGGAATCTTGAACAGGTGCGAAGATATTCCGAAATCCTGCGTGCTCGCCCAATTCTTCCCATTCATAGACCCGAATGGTTTGATGAGGCGCAAGTCGCGTCTGGAAAGATCGAACACTCACTCGTACGACGAGAATCCCCCCATCATCATTCCGGGCAGCGACGGGAGGGCGGAGCTACTCGTGCTTTCTGCTCGCGGCAGAGAGTGCTGGCATTGGGGTGGAGTAGCAGCGACGCTGCAGAAGCTTCGTCAGCAATTCTTCATCCTGAAAGCAAGGAAAGTCGTCCACGATGCACTGAGACATTGTCCCGGTTGCGAGCGATTCAATGCAAAACCAGCAGCAGAACCGACTCCGGTCTTAACGGCGTTTCGAGTCGAAATCACTCCACCGTTCCTCTCCACGGGAGTGGACTTTGCCGGGCCGCTATACTACAAAAGAGAGAATGGGAGGAAAGCCAAGTCGTACATCCTTTTGTTCACGTGTGCATTGTCACGAGTTGGGATCAGATCTCGTGGATCGGGACCATTCTCATGTAGTTTTTCACCAATCGCTCTCTTTTCGCTCTCCACTCAACTCTGGGACCGAGTCAACGCCGCGCCGAGACGCGACGCCAACGTCTCGGAACGGAAAAAACGTCAATCGCTTCCGACATATGGACGTCAATCTATTGGTGCTGATTAGGATTTGATAACTATATGAGAATGGTTCCTGATGGAAATATGTAGCTCTTGACCCACTCGGGGATACCCGATGTAGGAAGAAGTGTTATATCCGTGTAACAGTTTTCAGTCTTCCGTGTCTAGAATGTAGCACGTCCTGGATAGCTTCTCTCTCCTGGCTACGCGGACTGTCATAGCTTCCTTGTCCGCTGTACTATAAAAGCATACGTCTATGTAATAAAGACACTCTGGCTGGTTACTCAGGCTATCCTGGTTGCCGACTTCGCTTGACGTGTTCTCAACCGAAAGTCCCGTGTATTTATTCAACATCGTGAATCCCTCCACACCGTATCTACCTCACAGCTGAATTTTGACTGAGCATTCGACTAGTGGACCATCAAATTTCCAACATATTTCGTTATCAGCACGATAGCGCCTAAAAAATCAGTGAGTCTCAACGTTACCGCCAACACCAACGATACCATAAGATCGAATCGCATTATCCTCAAGAATGACGGAAGCAACTACTTGGCATGGCGCATCATTCTGCCTGTCTATCTACAAGCTCAATCGTATGCTTGGGAAGTGGTCAACGGAGATCTGGACCCACTCAAAGAGTCAGAGAAAGCCCACTACGAAATTGGAAACAAAAATGGGAGAGAAGTGATACTCGGCACACTTCAACAAGCAACCCTGATTCGTTTGTTCTCCAAGGATTCGGCTTCCGTGACAGCTAAGGATGCATACGATCGTCTCGTCAACAACTACCAGCCCAACAGTCCGATATTCGCTGACATTGCCATCGATAAATTCATGAGCTTCACCTACAACAAATCTATTAGCGTCCGTGACAATCTGATTTCCAAAAATTGGTCGATGATCTGGACGAAACAGAAAGCGGAATGTCAACGAAATAGCATCACAGCAAGGCTCGTCAATGCCCTCCCAGCCAGTTGGGAAACCTTCAAATCCAGCTGGGGCACCAGGGATGCAAAGCAGAAGACGTTCGAGAATCTGGTGGAAATGATCATTGCAGAAGATGCAAGGAAGAATATGAACAACTCTCAAGCACAGGATACTACAACAGCTTTAGCGGCCAGAGTCGGTGGTCGGCGACCTACCCATGGAAGGCGCCACCAACAGTCTACCTCAACAATGAGAAGCAGCAGGACGTACCAACGGAACACATCTACCATCACCTGCTGGAACTGCAACAAGCAGGGTCACAAGGCTGCTTCCTGCCGCAGCAGGCCTAACAATCGTCCCAGACAACCCACAGCTCAAATCGCCGAGGTTTTGACAACCAGTACACATCCACCTCAGCAGGAGGGATCAGAGGTGGGTGGAGTACGATTCCTAATCGATTCCGGCGCTTCGTGTCACATTGTGAACGACCGAAGATACTTCACTAAGTACGATTCACTTGGACATCCCGGGATGTGACATTGGGCGATTCCTCGACCGTACAAGCACACGGGAGCGGAAACGTCGAATTCACCGTTCAATGTGGAGATCGGAATGTGAAAGTGAAACTTGAGCGTGTGCTACATGTGCCTAAGATGACGTATTGCCTGATTTCCTTAGGTGCACTTCTAAGTTCTGGATACCGGTGCACAGTCCGTTGTGAGGGAATTCTCTTCCAGAGGAAGAATGACAGA